GTAATCTCAATTAATCTGAAAAAAATCTTTTTCGAGATAAAAAATGTAAATTTTATTCGTTTCCTTTTTTTTACACACGACATCACACAAGAACAATTAAAGTAAAAAAACGCGTGTCGATCAAATGTGTCGTTTAAAAAACTGAAATTATTTTTCCGACGTAATAGAAGCCCTTAATACACCTTCCACATCGATTCCTCCAGAGGGGGCTTCTAATATGCGGGAGGCTTCTATTATGGGGGGGGGGGGGGGGGGTTGGGGTTGGGNTGAGGGGGGGGTGCGGGGGGGTTAGGTATCTGACCAGTGGCCTGACCAGACAAACTGGACATCCTCTAAGGTTGTCTTCAGTTAGTTTATATCAATGTTTAGTTTTAACGGGGGTCTCCAGAAGAAATGATATTCATTATTTTTCAACATATTTATTCAACATTTGACGTTAAAATTCTTTAGTTATCAGCCACTTTTCTACAACACTTCTGCTGTGCCGAATTCTTTTCGTTGTGCAAGTTAGGCACTTCCGGTGAAATTCGATCAAAAGTTAAACTTTTGAGATTGGATTTGTTTTATTTTGATCAAAAATGATTGTTTCATGTAATTCCATAATCGAAAGCTGTATGAACTTTTTTTTTCTCACATGATTAGAAGAAATAGCCAAATTCGACCGTTTTTTTAATCTGTTATCAAGGACTCAGTTTTGAGGTTGTTAAGTCTGATTTAAACTGACTCTTTCATAGTCCAGCTGAAAGTACAGGAAGAAAAGGCTTTTCCACGTTTTAATACACATTAAACTGAGAGAAGAAAGATTGTCTAAAAGAAAAGGGTTTATGAAGTCTGACATATTTACAACTTCCACAGTTTTTCATATAAAATTTTTCCCATACTTTGTACAAAAGAATTTTTAGAAGGTTCTTGTACAGCATTTCCTGCTGTAGGTTTAAAAAGAAATTTAGCTCTGAGTGATCTACTGATGGAATATAAGATAAAGGAGAAATAATGAGAGTATTATTTCTTCCGAACTATTCATTATAATGTTCATATCACCAACCTGATCCGTTATCAATGACGGCTGCTGCCGCGATATCCATTGCTATTATGATAATATTTCTGTATAATCCTTTAAATTTCAAAATTATTAAGCTATCAGAAGGAAAGCGTTTGATTCTATATATAGACTATGAGTAACAGAATAACAAAGAACTTCTTTTCCTTTTCAAAAAAAAAAGGCAAACAAGTAGATGATACAGTGACTAAAATGGGCGTATTGAAAAACATACAATTCTTTTATCCACAAGTACATTTTAGACGTTCAAAAACATTCTTCTCTTTGTATACACGCAATGGAAAATTCGCCCAATGAAAAGTAAATTATTGACAAATCGAGAAAGCATCGGATTATTTTTTATCTTGGAAAATCGAAAAAGACAACTGTGAACAAGTTTAGTATCGTATTTGACTTTGACACTTTATATTTCTTGCCAGATTGCAGCAAACTGTAACTGATTAAGTGAGAGTTTCGATAGATTGCTAAATTATTAACGATTTAATGGGCAAGTACTATTTGAAATGAAAAAAAGAACAGTTTACAGAAACAGCGAATATGTTTTCAAATTTAATCACGTTTGGCTAAAATTGTGAATGAAGATGATGGGTAAAAAGGTTATTTTTCAAAAGCACTTACGATTTGCTCTTCTACGTTTATCATATGTGCGATTTTTGGAAAGACGGTCGAGTTTACCTATTATTTAAGTGTACACAACAACTGATATTTGACACTATTGCGTTTATTATATTCAACTATTTGTTTTAAGTAATTTTTAAAGGTGAAGCGAGGAAGGTGTCTGATTAAAATTTTATTATGATAATCTACAGTAAAAATAAGTCGAATGTATCAAAAATCACTCAACCTTTTCAACTAAATGTCTCATCTATAGTTTTTCTTTTCTCTTCGTTTTAGTCATTCACTTTCGAGTAGAGTAAGTTGGAGTAGTTCTGGGCAGCCTCTTTAATTTTCACAGTATTTTGAGCGGATCTCAAGCATTATTACTCGGGAAACGACAGTTCACAGGTGGACAGACGGAGACGGACATTTTTCTGTCTACTAATGTAAAAATCTTGTTAAAGTTCAATAAGATTAATTTGTATTCATCAGTTTCCAGAGAGCTCCTAGCAAATGTTCAGAATTATCCCACATGGGATAACTCTGAACAGTCCAGCCAAAATGGCTGGAAGAAAGTAAAAGAACATTTTTCAACGGCACAGTTTTAACTTTCTAATTAAAAACTATACTATCTTGTAGAGACTTTTGAGCTGGATCTACCTTATAAATTGCTAGTCCTTTGCACATATTCTTGATTAATTAATTAGAAATTGCGAAAATAAAAGAACACTCGCTTTGTGGTCTTTTTCTTGTTTGAGGTAATTATGAACACTCAGCTATTTCTCAAGGGATAATACAGCCCGTGCAAATCATACAGGATAAACAACTTCCGCTGTCTTTTAGAAACCGATCTTGATACCATACTAACCGGCACAACTGTTCAGAACCATGAGCTCTATCATAGATGTAAAAATCCGATAAAAAAGTGTATTTTCACTGTTTCCTGTAAAGAATATAAATACTGTTGTTTTTGAACGGACTTTCGTCCATTAAAATTAAAAGAAAAATTAAATTAGAACCTTAATTGACAATCAGCTCACGAATAAGTTCAACTTTTCATAAAACCTCGTACAATTCTTTTTGATTGATGTAACATGAAGAGAATGGACGTCAGCTGATTGTCAATACGTGTGATTTACACGGACTGTATTATCCCATGAGAAATAGCTGAGTGTTCATAATTACCTCAGACAAGAAAAAGACCACAAAGCGAGTGTTCTTTTATTTTCGCAATTTCTAATTAATTAATCAGGAATATGTCCAAAGGACTAGCAATTTACAAGGTAGATCGAGCTCAAAATTCTCTACAAGATGGTATAGTTTTTAATTAGAAAGTTAAAACTTTGCCGTTGAAAAAAGTTCGTTTACTTTCTTCCAGTCATTTTGGCTGAACTGTCCAGAATTACTCCAACAAGACACACTGACTGTCCATAATTATGGCACACTTGCTTCTGGTACGCTCAAAGTGCTATGAAAGTTAAAGAGGCTGTGCAGAATTACCCCAACTTACTCTACTATTATTTTTTTTATTAAAGAAAGAAAAGATTGAAAAAGCTTTTTGGTATTTGTTTTTTATATAAATTTTTTTATTTCAATGAAATACAAAACAAATCGAGACAATTGTCACATTACATTTTTGGTATTTCTTTCGTACTCAATTCATAGTTTAGGAGAGAACTTTGTTTCAGCAAGTAATATGTTCGCATAAAGTAGTTTACTACACGTAAGAAGTGTTATATTTATTTATTTTGCGAGAAAGGATTTTCTAAATCTCTATAAACAACTTTCTCCCACACGATAGATGCATGAAAGTAAAAGAAAGTGAAACATAAAGCCTCGAATTTATCATCCAGAATAAGGATATTCACTAGCCTTTTATCCTATTCTGAACGTCCGATGTTAACTCTTTCTAAATCGTCGTTCAGTTATATTTGTAGAGTAAATAATTATTGGTTTAATTAACGAGTATCTTATATGAAAGAACGTATTGTAATAATCAATCCTGTATACAAGGATTTATCTCTCGAGCATGAGATATTAGCACCGAGCAATTATGAACTAGTTGTTGCGAATGTGCATTCTCCTAATGAGTTAGTATCCATGATGTCAGATGCTGTAGCATTGATGACAGTCGATGTGCCCATCAATGGTGAACTTGTTTCTCAACTATCTCATTGCCGAGTAGTTTCACGAATGGGTGTGGGTTTTGATTGTATCGATGTTAAAGGGTGCCGTCAACACAACGTTGAAGTGTGTTATGTACCTGATTATGGTACAGAAGATGTGGCGAATCATGCAATTGCTTTACTATTCTCAGCTCATCGTCGATTACTGACTTATCATCGTTCAATAACTAACGGTATATGGGATTATAAGGTTGGAGGACAATTACATAATTTGAATGAATTAAAGTTGGGCGTAATAGGATTAGGAAGAATAGGATCGAATTTTGCTAAAAAGATGAAAATTTTTGTCAAAGATATTTATGGTTACGATCCGTTTATTTCAAACGAGAAGATACGAGAACAAAATATTCATCCAAGCTCCACCGATGAAATATTTTCAGAATGTGACATTATTTCATTACATATTCCGTTAACTGAGAAAAATTATCATTTCATTTCATCAGCTACTATTGCAAAAATGAAACGTCAACCAATTTTTATTAACGTAAGTCGTGGAGGTTTAGTTGATACGACAGCTCTCATTGTTGGCTTGAAAACTGGACAAATATCTTATGCTTGTCTTGATGTGTTAGAAGATGAATCGAATATTAATCAAGAATTAATCAAATTAGAAAATGTCCTTTTAACACCACATGCTGCTTGGTATTCAATTGAAGCTGAAAAACAACTACGAACAAAAGCCATAACAGATGTTCTACGAGTATTGAATGGTCAAAAGCCAGTTTATCCTGTTCCAAACGAATAACACTGATCTTCATTAAAATTTGTTGGATTGTAACGTATTAGGTTTTTTAATATGTCAAATGAATCAGCAGGTGTCTTCAATAAAAAAATTAATGCTTTAATTCTCGTTGGAAAATCAGCGAACAAAATCACATTTCTACCGAGGTAACTTATGCGTTAATTACAATAATCAAGTTCAATTTTTAGTAAACCCACATATTTTACATTTTTGATATTTTTTCTGAACTGATTATGTGAGTTCTTTCAACGCGAACGAAGTTGGAAGAAACGAATTTACTATTATTGTCTTTCATGTTTTCATGCTCATGAACGTGTCTTTGAAATTTTCTTGAATAATCAATGTGTTACAATTATCACATACTGTGCTTTTGATTAATTCTTTTATTCATCGCACTGGATATGTAAAAATGTTTACTGGGAAGGAGTAGTAACAAACAGATAAAAAGTTTTTATATGTACAATAGTAATTATTAATAATTATCTTTTAGCCACACACACACACACACACCCCGTTTGTCAAAAAGGAAGTTTGGAAACTACACAGCCGATCCGCACGAAACTTACAGGAAAGATTGGCCATGTTATGGTAAAGATTTAAAGGTTATATCTATTGCCATTTAGGAGATGTCGCTGAGTAGTAATTAAATTCGAACGTTTGAGCGTCTGTTTTGAACGAGTTTTCCAGAAGCCCTACAAAATAAAAAATGGCTTTTTTGCACTTGTATTGCATAAGCACATACACGTGCCGCACATGGCCGCGCACATGTTCATTAGATCCGCCATGATCGATAACCCGTAGCAAAATATCAACAAATTATTTAACGTTCAAACAGTTTTTAAGTAAAATGCATTTAACAGGATCAAAATTTATTTTGGGTTTTTCTTAAGACTGTTTTTTAGCTTAAGCTTTTAGCTTAACTTAGACAACACCTATAGATAGAAGTTGACAGAGTCCGATTTTTAAATTATGCTTCTATTATTTATAGAAATGAGGATTTCTGAGAAACCTTCCAAGGATTTTTCGGATTTTAAAGTTCCATTAAGCACCAGAAATCAGTAATTAATAAATTCAACAATCCGGCTATGTCAACTCCTAGGCAGAGGTGTTTGCTGCAAAACAAAAACAGCCCGAACTCTCCATCATTTACCTGGAATGAGAATTTCTGTACGTGGTAGACGCCTATTTTTGGCCCTTGTTGTGGTGCCCTCTCACGAACAGTTGCAAGTGACGCCAAAAAACAAATTTTGTTACCACACTTTGACACAGTCAACATTCCCTGAAAGTTTGGTTCAGATCAGACCTACCTGGGCTGAGATAGATTTCTGACCAGAGGAAGAGGGGCTTAAGGATTATCAGAGTTCTCCTCTCAGATAACAGTTAGAGAGCTCAGGTTGGTCTTAAACTATATGGGAATGACGTAATAGAGCCGATTTTTTGAAATTTTTCTTCGTTTCCTTGAAAAAACTGTTTTACCTGGAAAATCGTTCTGACCTTCTGTTACGGAAAAATCTGGCGATCCGTGTTCTTGCCTGAGCGAAAAAACAGTTTCGAGAAAAATACAAGGTACTTTTTTTCCTCTGAAAACTGCTTCTCTTTTGGTTTGTTTCGTTTCCTAAAAGTTTTGTGGAGTTCTCTATAGATTTTGGACCTCGATGATCCGGATGAACTTAAAGTCACACATGTGTCGCATACGCGTATGTATGCGTAAAAGTTTTTTTTCACAACAATATTTTTTTAATTTATAAAGCATGCTATAGATACATTTTCATAGAGGTTTTAGAAAAAAATTTGTGAAAAATTACTGAAATGCGTCTTCAATCGAATAAAAATTAAAGCATTTGAAAGAAGACACTTGGAGCTATCTTACCATGTACTTTACTCAAAATGGTATTTTTTGACAGGAGAGGACTCTTAAAGGTTAAGAGTCTTTAAGAGTTTTTAATTTATACATAAAAATGAAAAAAAATGATGAGTGATTTCTGTACCTCTGTTTGCCGTTATGATTATCTCTATTAACAAAGTTTTCAATAAAATGTCACATATTATGTACATGTCGATATATTTTAGTGAACAATAATTTCCCTGTTGAATTCTGTAAAAAGATGTTATAAAGTTGTTTGAAAAGATATAAATATTATACTCAATCTATTCTTTACGTTTTATCTTTTAATGTGTGAAAACAGTAGAAGATATAATACAAAGGTAAACAATAAGTACGCACACATATACAGATGCATGAAAAATATAAGTACACTTTAACCTTAACTGAATTTGATCCTTCTGTTTCATTGACAAGAAGTTGTTCTCATTTCATTATAAAAAGAAGATATGCCAAGATTTTAAACAAATAGTCGAACTATCCTATCTTTTGTCATTAGTTTATTTTTTACAGTTCATACATGTACAAAATGAAATTATTTACAAGAAACATGACGATTTTTAAATGCTATTACCATTATCGTCGTCATTCTCATACGTTAATTAATTATACAGAATATCCATTTCATGAACCAAATTCTTCCGCATATCAATCATTAGTTAAACGATGTAGACAATCATTTAAAACTACTGGTTGTTGTTATTTACCAAATTTTATATCAAACAAGACATTAGAAACGATATTAAATGAAATTACTGAATGGTTAAATAAATATGGTGATAGAGTATTTCATTCCTATGAATTACATAATTTACATTTGCAGGAAACAACGAACACTGATGAAGAACAACAAAGTAAGAGAAATTCTAATCTTCCATCGTTTCTCTGTAAAACTAGCTAAAAAAAGAAAATCTTTTTATTTTTAGAATCAAGTAAAACAGTTATTGCCTATGATCAAATTCCTACAACATCGTTACTTCATCAAATATATCAATATAATCCATTAACAGAATTTATTCGTCAAATAACTACTCCTGAAACAAAATTATATCGTAGTAGAGATGAAATGGGTGCAATGTATGTTAATATTTACGAAAAAGGAAATCAACTTAATTGGCATTATGATAATTCACATTTTTTTGTTAATTTATTATTGAAACAACCATCCGATGAAGGAATATTTGAATATAAAATACAAAATGATAAAATTATTAGTCGAAATGATTTTGAAGCACGTGGTTTAACCATATTTCATGGTAGTCAATATAGACATCGTGTTACAGAAATTAAATCTCCAAAAAAAGAACGTATCAATGCCATTTTTACATATGCTACTATATCTGATCATAAACTCAATGATTATATACATAAAAAATTCTTTGGTCGAATACAAAAATGGGACATCAACGATGAATATTAGAGAATTTTTCTTACATAAGATAAGAGAGATATACTATTATTTTTAATTATCAATTTGTACAAATAATCATTAATTTAGTTCAGATGTGTTAATTACATTTTTTTTTAATCTCTAATGCGTTTATAACGCAATTATATTTTTTTTTATTGAAACAAAACACAAAACGACATCTAAGAGCAAGATAAAGAGAAATAGAACACGAAACAAAAAATAAGCTTTCTTCTATCTAACAGCGAATAATAGCAAATGTAAAAGACAAAATATCAGAAATCTTTTTTCTTATCATCTTTTTTTAGATTATCAATACACCAAAATAACACAAATATAAAAATAGTATATCAAAGCCACATAAATGAAAAGGTATTTTTCAGTGTATAAAACAAATTCAAAAAGACTCTATCTCTCATATAAACATCAATTTAGATAACAAATAGAGGATACATTTTTTATCAATATTTTTTTATCAACAAAATAGAAAATTCACTGTTTTTCATTTCACAAAAAAACACAAGAGTATCGTGTTCAACAATTTTCTTCTCCATTCATCCAACTCATCAAAAGCATTCATATAATTTGAGAGAATAAAGTATTAGCTACTCAAAACAGATTTTTCAATGTGACACCAATTTCTTTTCAATTCTTATTTAAATGGTAATTTTTCTTGTCTGCTTCAAACTTACGTCGACTAGAAAAGAAGGATCAGGAGATTTTTCTGAGAATATACTGGAAATTTGACTATCAATTTCAATTCTTTGACATTTATACGAGTCTATATCTGAATACTCTGACTAATGATTGAAAAAAAAACATCAGTTAAACGGTGTATATAGGTTCAACACTAATTTGTTTATGTTGAAATGATAAAAAGACTTGTTCTAGTGTCGTTTGTTGAATTGAATAGGTTTCAATTGTTCCTAATTGTTTCATATGTTCCATTAACTGAAATATTGAACTTAATTTGATTCGTTGAGGACATTGGAATTCATTTTTCTCTTTAATTATAATATCCAAATTACTTGTATTAACATTCGTTAATAATTCTTGAATAGTTTGTGATGATTTTACTTTGACTGTATAACCTTGACCAAATTTTGTTTTTAAATGTTGAATTGAACCTAAAATATGAACAAAAAATTGATCGATTAAAAATCTCAAGAGAAATAAACATGTATTATTTGAAATATGAATAATGAATATTTGTTAAACTTACCTAAACAGCTAAATTGTCCATTAAGCATAATACCTAATCTTTGACATAATTGTTCACATTCTATCATTGAATGTGAAGAGAGAACAATTGACGTTTGTTCTGGCCGTTTTTCCAGTATCTGTCGAACATGATTTCGTATATATGGATCAATTTTTGCCGTTGGCTCATCAAATAATAACAATGATGGACTTCCCAAAAGCGAAATTGCCAAATGAAGACGACGTCGAGTACCACCGGATAATTGATGGATATATTTTGAGGAATGTTTTTCTAAGAGAAATTGTTTCAACATTGTTTGACATACACGTGATATATTTGAACGTGGTATACCCCGAAGATGTGAGAAATATGAAAGACAATCAGAAATAGTTAAATAAGAGATATCAATATCATCTTGAGGACAATAACCAAATGTTGGTGATAACATAGTCACAGAACCGGATGTTGGTGATAAATCATCGACTATTAAACGAAATGTTGTCGATTTCCCTGCCCCATTATATCCTAATAGTCCAAAACATTGTCCATTTTTCACAGCAAATGTTAAATTATTTACAGCTGGTATGTTATGTTGATTATACATTTTAGTTAATTGTTTTACAATTAAAGAATGTTCATGATCATTATTTTTATGAAGTGCCATTGTTCGATCATATTCATCTTTAACATCATTATCTTCATGTCCCTTAAACACATAATTTGAATTTTGACGTTTTCTACTTCTTGCTGTATCAATAAATATTAATATGGCGAAATAGACGACGACTTGTACAACCATAATCAATGAATGAATGAAAATTTTATAATTATATATTTCTAAATTCAACAATCTACCCACGGTCATATCACTAAACATACATTTACTACTTTTTTTAATACTTTCTCTTAATAATTCAATAATTAATATCTGAACATTGACTTGAGGAAATAGAAGGACTAACAACCAACGAAACATTCTAAAAATTATTACCAATATTGTACCTATAATAGAGAAATAAAAGAGCAAATGAACAATATGAGAGAAATATTTAGAAATATCGACAAAGACTAGGAATTTTAAAAGTTTTAAATATTTGAATTTTTTTGTTTATAGTTAATAGTACCATTCTCTTTATTCTTTTTCTCAATATATTTTTTTCCATGTTCTTACCTCGAATTAATCCAAAAAATAACTTAAAAATATTCAAAAAATGAATGAGAAAAAATATTAATAAAATAATCAATGCTCCAATTAAATCTCTTCGAAAAAGTTTTGTTAATAAATAAATAAATGGTAGTGTGACCACATAAAAAAGACATGAATAGGCAAAATATTTTAACTGCAGTATAGTTTTAAACGATACTATTGAGAGTATATAGATAATTAATAACCATAGGAAACAAATAATTAAATCAAATGTGTAATTTGTAAACCAGAAAACTGGAGAATAGAGACCATTAAGTAGTTGAAATGAATAAAAACTATTTCGACGTTCTCCAATTAAATATATAATTGGTAATAATAAAATCAAATAGAACATTAATGCTTTGCCTTGTAAATAAATTGGTAAACTATGAACACACAATGCAAGGTCACTTTTAGTCAAATTGGAGAGTAAATCGTTGTCTTCTTCCATGTCAGAATAAAACGATTCATTTTTGCTCTTGGAATCGGTATAGGCGAGAGTAGTTTGAATAGAAGACAGAGATGAATTCATTAGATATTTAACTAAAAGATTTGTGTAAATATCGATACCAAGTTGAAGTCGTTTCGGTGTTAAATGTTCAGAAAAGTATAATTGTATGCCCGATCGACTACGAATGGCCATATACAGATGAGAACGAGATGTTGAACGAAAATCTAAATTAAAAATAACAAATATCTTACTTATAGTATGTCTGTCATTCTGTCCAGTGTATTATAAAAAAAAAATTTTTGGTACTCACTTAATAAATAATTTTCAAATTCTTTTGGTGTATTAAAATTGATATATTGGTATTTAGGAAGTGTTTTTGAAATAAAATCAATTTGATTTAAATATTCTTTCAGTTTTGTATCTTCAGGTGCATCGATAATAATTGTTTGCCGTTGTAAATCGAGTCCACTATAAACTGTTTTTAATTTTGGAATAATATTAACATTTTTTGGCATTATATTTGACCAATTTGTTAATATAAGTAACAAAATTATAAACACTAACAATATCCATTGACGACAAAATACTTTTAAACGTTTAATAATTAAAGCGAATATTTGTTGAAAAATAAGGAAAAAGCCCCGATTCAACGGTTCACCACCAGTCTGATTATAAATTTCCTCAATTTGTTGTCGTTCTTGTTCTTCACCATCTTCAGTAGGTGATGCAGCTAAATATCAATATTTAGTTATACAATGGACATTTTAGATTACAGTAAGCCTGCAACAGTTCGCGATTTCAAATTCCTCTAGGTGGAACTCTTTTTTAGTTCAAATTTATTGAATGGAAACTGTTTTCCAGTTCCGATCTATCAGTTCACGTTCATACGAACAAGAAACAGCTCACCAGTTCTAGACTCCTTCGAATAAAATTACAGTTGTTTTTGAATGAGAACCAGTTGATATTTGTCTTTCTTGGTCTATTAGTTGGTTCGTTCTTCCAGAATGTTTGTACATCAATATGTATATATATCATAAATTAATAGACAACTAAGAATGAGAGCATCAACTGGTTCTCATTCAAAAACAACTGTAATTTTATTCGAAGGAGTCTAGAACTGGTGAACTGTTTCTTGTTCATATGAACGTGAAATGATGGATCGGAACTGGAAAACAGTTTCCGTTCAATAAACTTGAACTAAAAAGGAGTTCTCGTTATCGAGGAACTGCTGCAGTTCATCCAACGGTTGTGCGACACAGGCCTGATTTAGAAATCGAAAAAAAAAGTACTTTGTTCATTTATTAATTTGCAAAAAACATCATCCAATGTTGTATTTGTAACACCATATTGTACATTTCTTTGATCCAATTCGTCTAATAATCGTACAAATTCCTGATTTGGTTGAGTAATATTTGTTCGAATGATAAGTTCTTCGCTCTCAAATTCGACAAGTGAATCGGGTAAGAAATGTTTAATCAACTCTTTTAATTGTTGTTGTGGATGTGAAGTAATAATTAAATGATATCCACTTCCATATTGTTCTTTTAATTTCATTGGTGTACCTTGTGCTTTAATTCGACCAGAATCAATAATATACAAAGAATCACATAGTTCATCAACTTCATCCATAAAATGACTTGTAAGCAGAATTGTACGCGAAATTTTCATCTGTTTTAACCAATTCCATAATGAACGACGAGAAGATGGATCCAATGAGCTAGTTGGCTCATCTAAGTATGGAAAACATAACAATAGTATGCGAACTCTATCAAATTATGCTAACAATATTATTATCTTACCTAGAAAAATAATTTTTGCATTTCCGGCAAATGCACACGCAATCGATATTTTTCGTTTCATGCCTCCCGATAATCGTTTACATAGTTTATTTCGATCTTCTTTTGAATCCATTGACATAATTTTCAATAATTCATCAATATTTTCATCTCCTGCACAACCTTTAGCTTTTGAATAAAATTCCAATTGTTCTTGTACAGTTAAATAATTAAATAGAATATCATGCTGAGGACAATAGCCAATTTGTGATCTGATCAAATCAATATTATCGGCGATATCCAAATCAAAAATTTCAACTGAACCACCATCACACTTATTAATACCACATAACATATGAATGGTTGAAGTTTTACCTGAATTAAGGAAAATAAGAATAATAACAGTAAAAAACATGACGTTTATGCTTACCGGCACCATTATGTCCAATAAGTCCTTGTATTTGACTTTGATACAAATTAAATGTAATATTATCAACTACCGTATGTTTATCAAAATATGTTCCATAAATTTTTGTTAAATTTTTCACTTTTACTGTTGGATGCTCGTCTTTTACTTCCATTTCATTATCATTGTTTATCATTTTCATATCAACGCTATTTGAACGTTTCTTTTGTTTTCGTATATTTTTAATATTTTGAAATGGAAATGTCCATGGTTTTCGGATACCATATATTCCCGGATTGACTTGTTCAATATACCAAGTGAGAATCCACATAAGAAGAATACTTGTCAACATCAACAAACAAACATATAGATATATCAATGTGTGAGAATAAATTTGTGTGAAATAACCTTTATTGGCGACACCTAAAAATTAAGAAAAAATAATTTATATTATATAGATAAGAAAATCTTCTGCATACGTTCAACACTTATTTACCAAGATTAGCATTGATTAACAATAATAATCTGAATAATTGTTTAAAACTATAAAATGGTGATAATAAACAGAATACGTATTGTAACCATAATGGAAAATAATTTGGTATCAAAACGAAAACAAATGATAAAAAATAAATAAACCATGAGAAGATTGTTGCTACTAGATATCGAGAAAATAATTGAGATATAAATACACCAAAGGTGATTAATTGTGCTAGATATAAAAGTATCGTCATTAGTACTACTGCATATGGAATATAACCCAGATATATGCCACTACCTAAATGACACAAATGGAAGAAAAATATAGATCGGCATAAATGAAAGAAATACATAGATCTAATCCTCTAAAATACATACATATAGTCATTAATAGACAAACGATCATAGTATCTTTTGATCATTGTTTATACTAAGCTCCATTAAAGAAGTTTATCAACGTTATCATGTCATACACAATGTAAAAACTTGTCTTTAATTCTTAAGAAATATTGTTAAAAAATAGTAAAAAAAATTGATGACTGTGCATAAAGGGACAAGAAATACGAAGTAGAAAATGTCTTTGATACTATGATATCGAATTATATGAATTTATATGGAAAGAACTTTCGTCTTATTATCGAAATCATACCAGTTGAGTTTTCAGATGAGATGAACAAACAAGTCTATAGAGAAATATCCATCCGTTCAGTTATCAGGAGAGGAAGTCAAGGAATAATAGAAACCAAGCAAAAATCCTCTGTAAACTTCAAACTTATTTCTTTTTCTTTTTCTGTTTTCCATTTCCATCTCGTTTTTTTTTCATTTTTACTTTTCTTACGAAGAAAAAATCTCGAAGATTTTCTACAAAAAGGAGTGTATCACTGTTGCATACGAGAGAAGGAGACAAATTTTGTTTTCATAAAACCACTGATAATAGTCTCTTTAACCATTTGTGTAAAAAATAGCATCGTTAATAATCATAATAGCCTACCTTCTTCGACTCCGAATTTAATTTTGAAAATAATTGCTAGTATAATCGACGATATAAAAGCGATAATAAACATCCGTATTGCCCACGCAAAATTATTAAGAAGTGGATGAATATTGATTAATTTTAAAATTTCTTTAACTTGAGCATGTTTTTCGTCTAGTAACGACTGTATAAGAAAATAATAGGAATATAAATAGATACAATCAATTAAAAGAAGAAGCATGCCAAAAGTAAAACTAGGAAATGTAGAAAATATAACATCAGAATAATAAGACTGACATGGCATCGATAATATTTCTACCGATGATAAATATGAATATGCAATTGAAAACGCTAAAATATAAAAATAGAATAGGAATAAATGCATTTTATTACAAGAAAACAGCTAAATTTCTGAAAATAATCTTACTTCTGTTTTTTTTATAATGGATAATATTGTTATCTAAAAATAGTTTTGTTTGAATCAATGATTCATAATTTTGATCATTTTGATTTATTTTTTTATTACAAAATGAAGATGGATGTTTCAAAATTAGCTGATCATTATGGATAGACGATGATGATTCAATTGGTGTTATTTCATTATCATTTGAATGCGAAAGAACTGTTGTTTTAAACCAATCTATCCATGAATTATCATTTTTTTTTAAATAGGTAATATGATAATTATCAAGACCATTATTAAAATCAATAAATACCAATGATTTCTCAGTTTTATTATTTTTAAGCTCGTTTAATGTTGTATTTTTAATTATAATTGATAATCCACACTTTTTAGATATATATTTTCCTAATGAGCGAATATTCGATGTATCCGGATTAAATATGAATTGACTAGTATGTTTTAAATTACATTTTGTTGATTGTATATAAGAATGATTAAATAGAACTTCAGATGGTCGTGCTGAAAATACCTTTGACTTCAAATTGAATAATGATGCAGGATCTATTGAATTAGAGACTAAATTTTTCTCACGATCCATAGGTTGATTTGATCGTGTTGGTGGCGTATGCATCCAACGAACGAGACATATAACGGACAAAAATAGAAGTGGTATAAGAAATTCGAATAAAACTTTTGGACAACAATAACATACACGACGACGATAAGCATAACGATATGATTTTTGTAATAGTAATAGTAATTTTCGTACAGAAGATATTGGCTTAGATTGAGCCTGAAAAGCGTCATCCATATTGAACACTTTTTACTAGAGGGAAAAAAAGCAAAACATTCAGAATTGTCATAGTCAATGATACTTCTAACAGTTTTTGAAATATTTTTTCAGCAAACTAAAACTTTTTTTCAACTATAATGTAGCGCCAATTACTATTCTAACTACAGTACGAAAAATGAATCTGTTATCATATCATGCATTGTATTCGTATTGCCTTCACTAATTTTCTTTTCTTTTGTTTTTATATTTGTCATTTGTTTATTCCTATACATTGACTTGTCATTGTTATTAATAGGTCCAACACATTTACTGACTCTCATTTCTGACAAGAAATTTTTGTTATTTTTCTTTATGGGATAATCCTCAGAACGTATCTTTGATGGTGTTCACAGTACAGTAAATTCTTAAAAGATTACGAATCTTTTCTCATTCAAGTTATTTCCCACAAGTATGTTAGATATTACTAATATTCTAAATGTCAAATGAATGCGGCACATCTTCCTCTTATTCATCGTTTACTATTTCCTTTCGTTCTATTCTGCTATTTAATTATTCATTGCCTCTCATTTTTTCATTCATGACAACAGTTTGTGGTAGAATGGTAGTAAGATACGGCTACCAATGGTAGCCTACCATTAAACTACGGAACGGTAATTTATGGACTGTCCATCTAAAGTACGAGCTCTTTATGCACTTGAGCTGCACGATTGCAAAATGGTTTAAACTAAGGACTAATTCCCGAATGGAACAAATGAACAATGAACAAAAAACTTAGCCAAGAAAATTTAGCCTCTTTTCTGGTTGGGTCATACTATTCCAGTGAGGAGGTATAATGACACTCTTTTCTATTGTCGCTTTAAGAATTTATTCCCTTGGGTTTAGCATATAGGATCTTACAAAATACTTGTCTGTCTGTGTGTATCCAGAAAACTTTTTAGGTTCATATTACATTATGCGGTTTTCAGAGAAGTTCGCAATATTTCTCATCTTTCCTAGGTGCGCAGTATTTTTGATAGGAATTTTTTTCAGAGCGGAACTTTCCACTTTACTGTTAGGGTCAAAGTGGGCTTGTCCACTTTGATATGAAAAAATAGGAACAGTTGAAATTTTTTCCCTAACACCGGCTAAAAAAGATTTTTTTCATCGTCACAGGGGTTTCGTTTTATCACTTTCAGTTAAATGGACCGAAATGAACTTCGGTACCCTGATCAATGACAAATTTAACAACAAACACCTTAGGTGACTGATCTAAAACAAAATGTAGCTAAAACAATAGCTGGAAGGGGAACACTTCTGAAGAAAAAGAAACGCTGCAAAACTTTTATACGTTTGGATAGAAGTCATAAATCCTTTTTGACTAGTACCATGTTGATGTTAAGCTTCAGACTCTGGCGATGTCGTATTGTAATGAAAGTTGGACGATTAAACAGAAATTATACTGGTTCTCTCGCTCACAAGTGTTCAACAAACAGAGATCGATGACTTCAGTTCAGAAGTACTTTTAGAACTCTGTAAATCTTTCGAGGGTAGCGAACACCGACCGAAGGGGGGTGTAACCTGTATCTTGGATTCAAAGTCATGAAAGGTCGTTCGCAGATATACATAGTCAATGGACCGAGCGAGTGCAGACGAGCGTTATCTTGTTCTTACTGTGTATTGAAGCAATGTTTGATATTTGACCATTTATTTCGTATTCTAAAGCATTGCTCTAACATCTCTATTACGTTTTCATCCACTAATCGGTAGTACTAACTGGAAATATTGTGCATTTTAGGATCGACGGTACACCAGTCAGACATCGCATCCAGGTCATTTTGAGCATTTACTAAATCTGTAAAATCGTGCACAGGGACAAGAAGAAAACATCGTTAGCAAAGAGACAAACAGTTGTTGAAGGGGGGAAAATGCTGTGGAGGTCATTGATAAAAATGAGGAGAAGGACGGGACCTAATATACTTCCTTGGGGAACTCCTGAGACTGCAGGTACTGAGCTGGATCGTTTACTGTTAACGGAAAGAATTTGTTTCCGTTCACAGAGATAGAAGCTGAACCACTAGTAGAGTGGTCCATCGATACGTGCTAGGGACAGTTTTGTGAGGAGTAACTAATGGGGTACCCTGTCGAATGCTTTTGAGAAATCAAACGTCATCCCTATGAACTTATTTCTTTTTTCAAGATGCTTAGTCAACTCAGTGGTGATATGGAGGAGTGCATCAACGGTGCTAGACTGGGGACGGAGATCGAATTGTACACAAGAGAAAAAATTTAATTCCTCTAAGTGACGTAGAAGTGCTTGTTGGACTAACATTTCGAAAACTTTACTGACGTTCGATAATAACGAAATCGGGCGATAATTGGAACAGAGTAAACGAGATCCTTTTTTGTGAACTGTCTTAATCAAAGCCGATTTCTATAACTCAGGAAAAATCTCATTTTCTAGCGATTTCTTAAACACAAAATGTAACTGAGGTCCTAGTACATCAGCGCGGAACTGGAGAAATTGAATGGAAACTCTGTCTATCCCCACAGGTTTTTTCTTTTTTAATGATTTTATCAGAACTATGACTTCAACTACCGAAAATTCAAAGGTTGATAAAAATCTTTATTGATATTGATTTTGATTTAAGGGAGGAGGCTGGAGGCCTACGTTTGATGAAAAATATTCCTGAACGAACTCAAAGAACATGTCAGCTTTCGCTTGGTCATCACTTACAGTGGATTTGACATGGATAATTTTGGCAGGGTAACCTGAGTAGTCTTTTCTAAAATGATTTAAACTGGTCCAATAATTTTTGGGATCAGAGAATAACGAATGAGTGTTTTTAAAATGGTTAGCTTTATCCTTGCGAACTGATGCTATAACCTTTTTTCTTAACTTTTTATACGATTCTTGATTTGCTTTTGGCTTACGTTTAATTTTCTGAAATAATTTATTGCGCTCCTTAATCAAATTAATAGCAGCTTTCGATGTTTTAAACAAGGAATTTTTTTTACTAGAAATTAGTTTTTTTGGTACATAATTTTCAATACACTTAGAAACGTGTTTTAACCATAAATCCAATGCTGAGTCAACGTCATTTGAAAGATAAAACATAGGTTCAACATCAACTACATTAACTACAGGATTACAGTTCAGACAGCAACATCTAATATTAGACGCCGGCAGTGTGCGCGCAGATTATCGACTACCAAGTACGCAAGAAATTTTTCAAGTTAATTAAATTTAAATGAAGTCAAAGATCTTCTAAAAGAGTTGTATGCATGTAAAACATAGAGAGATGATCGAAACAATATAATGAATAAATTGAACGCGGTTGATTGTGATAAGATTACGAAGTGCGATTGAACACAAGCTCGCTTTTCGATTATTTAATTGCTGTATTAGAGTGCTGTCGCGTTGTATCACAATGCAAAGGTACAATTAGAAACCAATTTCGATTTAATAGTTATCCTGATATCTGCAGTTTTAATCGCTACTAGGAACATTAACACAATCGATCGAAAAAAATTATTTTCTATTTATTACATTCCTACTTCCTTATCAAACGATTAGTGACCTTTTTTTCAGAGAATGAGCAAGCTTTGTCATATTGTTTCACAATTTGTATGAGCTTCTCATCAATCTGATATAACTGAAACTCGTCTGGTTCCTGTTTAAATTGAATATGCGACGAATATCTGTGAAGTGCAGCATTCGTTGGAAAGTTGAATGGCGGACAATTGATATTATTGTGATAGAAATCACCATCAGCTATGTTACCTTTCACGCAAAAGTTTACATTGCAATCTGAAGGATAAGAGGATAATGCAAAATATTTAGCCCCACTGAGAACAACATTTTTTACTGCTTTAAGACCATTTTTAATGTTCATGTGTTGAATGGCATCACGCATTATAACCAAGTCAAATGATTGATTTATTTTGTTATTTTGAATGGATGAATATTTGGGTAGTTGACATTGAACAATATCCCAAAATTGAAATAGTTTATTTTGATGTAATCGATATAAATATTGGTTTTGTTCGATTACTTTTGATGATATATCACCGCCGAAATAGAATTGAATTGTATTTATATCTCTGACACAAAACTGCCAATACGTATCACCAGACGGAATGTCAGCTATCGATGAAATATCGTACATTTTCACAACTTTTGTCAAATATTTTATCCAGTCAAATGCACCTAAGAAAAACGCGTCCATTTAGTGTCTAAAACATCAAACATCGATTGATCCCAAGAAAAAAGTACATATGTGAACTAGATGGCAATCACGTTGTGTAAGACTTGCTAATGGGGTGCGAAGCGAAATATTTGCATCACAAATTTTACTCATATGTAAAATACAGTCGTGCATATAAAGGTTGTACTACACTAATGACTCATCCATAATAGCAATCACATATTTAGCTAATGAAGTGAACAACACTGCATTTAAGATCAACTGTAAAAGTAACATTGGACTATAACGCGCCTGTATACTCAGATTAATTCTCGTTTTGCTGAAAAATTTCAAAGTCCCAAACCATATCGAGTCGAAATAGATTTGGCTGGAGTTTTTTTGCAGACGAGTTGAAGAAAAATCTTTTTTGCAAGTTACTTATAAGCATAAAGACATGACTAATTCGAAAATATCTTTGCTCAGGTCTTTCCCGTTACCGAGACAGGAGGCATTATCTGCAAAATAACTACCTTTTCTACCGGCTACATATAATCATACCTTTATGAATAAAATAACCATAAGTAGCTCGAGTACAGTATAGAGACATGTTGCCAGGTGCGAACTTACTTTTCATTGGTAAAAAAAAGCAGAAGTCCGACATGGTTAAAAATGGAAAAAATCCAAAATTTGGAAAATTTGCGCGCTCTCTCCACCCATGGAAGACGTTTCTATAAAATGACAACTGCCAGAGAATTTAAGTACAAAGTTACAGCTGCCTAAGTAATCAATTTCACCAAAAAATCTTGCCTTCGGAGCAGCAAATAAGAGTGAGTTTTTAGGAAAGAATATCTCTTA